CCTTAATATTAATATTTTTATTTTCTATATATTTTCTCTCCTTACACCACTCAATCTCTACATTGTTGTGATTATAATATTCAAAAATATAGTGATTAATTATAGCAAAATAGCACAAGATTTATGGTGAGCCATATGAGCCAAAAACAAGGCTAATAAACCAATTAAATGAACAGTGGAAGTAAATGAGCACTTAGCTTGAAATAGAAAGAGCGTGGTGAAGTAATCTCATGGAAGATTTTTGGTGAAGATGTCTACACTTTGTCGTTAAGAATTAACAATATCCAGTACGTAGCTTTTTTCACAAATTTCTCACGAACGAAGTGATAGTCAAATATTAGCATTTGTGTGGTGGAAATTTTTTTAGATTTATGTAAAAGTATTTTATATAGTGAATGTGTGGTTGAAAATGAGTACATAAAAAAAAAAAAGAATTCTAAAATAATGGTTGTCAAATGGAACTTAATGTGCGAGAGCATTAAAGATTGAATTGCGTTACACGCATATAAGGAGTACTTTGTTGTCACGTAACAGTTGAGAGGGATGGTAAGGGATTGCCAAGATCATAACGAAGATATTGACGCCACGAAAGTTTAGAAGTTGTGAAAACGAAAGAGTGATATTCCGCTTTAACGGTAGGATGTGATAGTTGGCTGAAATTTGGAACCCTAAGAGGCTAAGACACTAGATTGTGAGACTACAATAAGCTTTTTTGAGTGCTTATGAGAGCCTCATCACATATGAAAAATAAAACTAAGCTCTTGTTTAGTGGAGATTAAAATATCAGATATTTAGTAAATTTTGATAAAAGTTAATGAATATGTGGTTGAAAAGTTGTAGATCTCATGAAATGTGATTAAAATTAATTATTAACTTTGACTTTGATAAAAAAATATATTTTAATCTTTATCAAACACGGGCATAAGAATAAATTGCATGTATAGTCTCCAACCTTACAAATATATTTGTTTTTGTCCTAAATCCACTTTCTCATTGCATTTTTTCCCTCAACCTTTAACAAATTTGCAAACTAGATCCCTGCACGGTTTCATACATTTCAGGCGTTACGTCGTGCCAGCGTTTCAGTTGAGCTACACATTCCTTGTTAATGAATGTGGCAAAATAATCCAGCCAAAAGGAAAAAAAAAATGCATAGCTTAATTTTCTCTTATATGTCAAAAGTTAAAACAAGAAACGACAACTTTAAATCTTAACTTTGAGAGCTGATTTTTATGAAGAGAAAAAAAAAACAAATTATAGAATGAATCCTAAAGTTTTGAATTTAAAGTTACGGGTAATTGGCGCAAAACGTCCCTCCCTTTGACGATTTTTGTGGAAAATGTCCCTACCTTTCTTTTTTAGCGCGGAATGTCCCTCCCTACCTTTCACTTTTTTTGCGCAAAACGTCATTTTCTCCAATTTTTGACATAAGATGATCAATATACCCTTCTATTTAAATAAAATAAAAGAAAAGATCTGTTTAGTGCATTCAAGAAGTGGGATTCTCAGGTGAGTTGTGCCCAATTCAGAGAAAAACACGAAGGCTTGTTGAAAAATGGGTCAAAGATCTCGGCTTTTCAAGATGCTAATGGTGAAATTGAATGCAACGAATTGAAGATAACCATGTGAATGTTTTGGTTAAAGGGTGGAGTTAGATTTCTGATGATATGGATAATTTGTATAGTTGTAGGTGTGGGTTGAGCTGTATGTGGACTAAGAGCCCGTTCGTTAGAGATTAAAATCAGATTAAAATTGAAAAACTAGCTGTTGTTGTTGACTTTTATTAGATAAGTGAGATCCAATAACGGCTATATTTTCAATTTTAATTGGATTTTAATCGGTACCAAACGGGCACTAAATCTTCAGTTATGGCTGTAAGCTGCCAGGATTGGGGACGGGGGCTTCCCCTGCAATTTATTAAATTGTAGGGATCCTTATGCAATTATGGATTTAGAGTGAAATTATAATTTTTTTTAAAGAATGTGAAGTTTGGTGGGGTATTTGAACTTTTTAAAAAGTTTGGACCTATAATTATAATTCATTCTTTATTTTTCTTTTCTTTTGTTTTATTTAAATAGAAGGGTATATTGGTCATCTTATGTCAAAAATTGGAGAAATGGACGTTTTGCCCAAAAAAAGTGTAAGGTAGGGACTTTCCGCGCCAAAAAACGAAAAATATGGACGTTTTCCACAAAAACCGTCAAAGGTATCGACATTTTGCGCCAATTATCCTAAAGTTACTATAAATTCAGTGACTTTTATTTTAAAATCCTAACTTAGGACAATGAGTTGTTCCGACTTGGATTAGGTATTGTGAAACTTCGTAAATAAATTATATTTTGACAACTAACGTTTTACATGTGAAAAACTAGACATAATTTCGACTAGCCGAAACCAAATATGTAGAAAGTAGAAAGGTAGAAAATGACATTTTCATTGAAGCTAGAGTTTGAATCAGATTTCTTTCTTTTAATTATTTGGCACATAATAAGGGTAAAATCAGTCTACAGGTACAGGAAATTGATACAGAATTGGTACAGAAATTTGAAATGGACAACACAAATTCAAACACACACAGAGAGATGCACAGGAACTTGGGGACTAACTCATAAGGGTGGGAAGCGTTGAAAGTTCGTCCCACCTGGTAAGGGATTAGATAAAAAAAAATTTGATACAAGTAGATGATCCATTAAGGAAACTATCTAATCAATCATAAAATGCGACAACATATCAACACCGCTCCAATTAAAATGCGAAAGTTTAGAAGTTGTGAAAACGAAAGAGTGATATACTGCTTTAACGGTAGGATGTGATGGCTGAAATTTGGAACCCTAGGCTAAGACACTAGGTTGTAAGACTACAATAAGCTTTTTTGAGTGCTTATGAGAGCCTCCTCAATCTGCATCACATATGAAAAATAAAACTAAGCTCCTGTTTAGTGGAGATTAAAATATCATATTTTTAGTAAATTTTGATAAAAATTTATGAAATGTGTGGTTGAAAAGTTGTGGATCCCATGAAATATGTGGTTAAAATCAATTATTAACTTTGACTTTGATAAAAATATATATTTTAATTTTTATCAAACACGGGCATAAGAATAAATTGCATGTATAGTCTCCAACCTTACAAAAAGATTTGTTTTTGTCCTAAACCACTTTCTCATTGCATTTTTGCCTCACCTGAAACTCTGGCACGACGCAACGCCTGGAAGGGTCAAAACCGTGCAGGGATCTAATTTGCTAATTCAGAAACTTTAATTTTAAAATCCTAACTTAGTTTAGGTACTATAAAACTTGGTAAATAAATTTATATTTGACAACTAACATTTTACGTGTGAAAAACTACACATAATTTCGACTAGTCGAAACCATTTATGTAGAAAGTAGTAATGTAGAAAATGACCTTTTCATTGAAGCTAGAGTTTGAATAAGATTTTCTCTCTTTTAATTAGTAGGCACGTACGTTGAAAGTTCGTCCAACCTGATACCTACTTTCGATACTATTAAGAAAACTATCAAATCAAACATAAAATGCGACAGCACCGTTCCAATTATCTTGTAAGTCGTCTAACTTTAATACTCGATTCGAGTATTTTCTCTGCGTTTTATATTTATCAGTCGTCGTATACTGTATCACACCCTTCTTGCAGCAATCTAAAACGAGTAATGATATTTGCAAGAATGATTGATAGACAACAGTCCATACGCCAAATCCAAAATTTGAAAACAGCATTTCACTCAATAGGGAAACAAATATATATTTATAAATATATATAAGTAATCTCCATCCAAGTGGGAGAATCCAAAACCAACAACAGATAAACGAATCGAACAATTATGTATCAAGGCGATAATTCCACATTATCCATATTATCAAACTTGGAAAGGCCATGGCCAATTCTTCAAGTCTTCCTCATCTTGAACCTTGGAATTCTTCATTGCTCGAGAATTGACCCCATCTTTTTGCACATAAGCATAGTAATTCAAGAAGAATGCAAGTGTAAGAACAACCCATTCTAGGCAGAATATCAGTATACACAACCCACCGGCCAATTTCAATATCGTCACACCAT